ATTTTGTCTCAAGATAAGGGTGGAGTGAGTTAAATATTGTTTATTATTATTATTAATAATAATATTAATAATAATAATAATGTAAAGGGATTACATTTTTGAGCATCAAATAGCTGAATTAGTTAGAACCGGCTTAAAATCTTTCCATTTGGTCTTTGTTGACACAAAATTGTGACCAATTTGTTTTAAACTTCTTTAGTTTCACCGTACGTCCTTGCTGGTGACACGCCGTGCAGGGGGTCACAAACGCTGCTGCGCCAACACACACTTTACCTGGGCAAATCTGTGTATTGTAAAATGCAGTGGCGCCATCTGGTGGATCTTCAGGGAACACGTCAAACATTTCTTAAGTATTATTCCACGACTTTTTAATAAAACACCAGAATCATATACTACACATATAAAATTTTAATTGCCTGTAGTCCATTGTAAATGATAAGTTTTTACTTCCCTGGATTGGCTCGTTCAATTAGTAAAATTGTAACTATGTTGAGTTCTATTTCACCTGTTTAGACTGAACTTATTTCACTTTCAAATATGCTTGTGACGTGTCTGTTACGTAAGTATACGTTTATTTGCATTTCTTTCCTTAAACACTGCGTTCATCCCTCCTGCTATTGGTTGTCTGTGTGAATATATGTCAGGCCAAGTTGTTTTTATCTTGATAAGTTCAAGTTACTTGGTACACACACACAAAAAAACGTCAATTCAAATTGAAGGTTCTGCTGTATATGACATTAACGACCACCCGCCTTTTCCCGAAATAGTTATTTAAATGTACATAAAAATACGACCTTTTTTAGATAATCTATATTTACTGGAGAAACAAAAATAAAAAGTCAGGTAAAAAATCCATAGTTTTTACACATCTTACAAAACCATAATCGATTATGTATTACAGCTAAAAGGAGTGATAAACTGGCCTTTGACCCTGGCCTGTTAGACCCACTGAACAGTTGGCACAAAGAAAGCTGTTAACAAATGTTAAGCAGCAGATATTTCTTATGGTGGTGGTAAACTATCTATAAACTATGCATTTTAAATATATATGTGTGTGAGTATATAACTTTTTTTTAAAGATAATCAGTTACGAGCATAAATATGCTTTACGTGTTTGTTTTCAAGGGTATTGTATTTTGTAAAACATTGCATTCTCCGTGCAGTTTCATTTTGCAAACATCATAACATAACGTCATAAGATTAGCAAGGAAAAATAAGTGTAAGGACAATAAGAGCAAGAGTCTCTTCTCCCCCATAGCTGTATAGTTCACAAAGCTGAAGCCCTTCAGGAAACAAAAAATTAGTAAAAATAGATGAAAACATTAAGCTAGACACTGCAGAGCTGTCATATCTGTTTGCTTGTATATGTTGGCGCAGGGATACTAAGGGTGCTGGAGCTACATTAAGCTCAAAAGAACTTAAAGACTAGTGGAATGAACTCCGCCCACAGCTTGTGATTGGTTGGAAAATGCTAAGACGAGTCTGCCTCTCAGTTTTAACGTGAATCCTGTAGAGGGCAACCAAGTATCACACATGTCAGATGCATCTACAACACTCAGAAGGCTTTAAAAATATACATCATGCAGTCGAAATACAAAGTAAGCGTATATAAAAGCATGAATGAAAAAGACTTTACTTGGTTTGTTTATTTGTTTTTAGTAATGCTGTTTCTCTTAAATGAACAATGAAATTGTGGGAAATTGAATTTTCTTGCCTGAAAGCATTTTGGTGACAGAATACTCATGTTATTAATGTTGTAGGTTTTAAATCATCTCTGCATGCATATGGATCCATTTATACATGTCTGCTTTTGATGGCATCAGAAGTCAATAGAACGATTACAATTAGTCATTTATTGTATATTGGTCTTGTCATAATCAAGACAAGAGCTCAGTTATATATCAATTAATTTGTAAATATTTATAAATGTGGGTCTCTCCATCAACTTGACTTCAAAAGGTGTATATTGATCATGCTTTGCACCGAACATAAACTGTTATTCTGAGTTTGCTAAAGTATCTATCAGGACTGCACTGACAGGTGTGTTTGTTTCTTTTCAGTGATCAATAAGTGCTAACTTTATTGTATGATTAAATGATCAAGATGAATATTTCGCTTTTAACTTCATTTTTTCTTGGTGTTTCTGTCTCCACTTCATTCTTATTTCTAAAGGTGATTTATTTTCCACTAAAATCATCAGTTTGAAATTCAGGGTGCTCTCAAATATTTTTGCCTCCCGTGGCTTTGTTTTATTTTTATTATTTATTTATTTATTTTTAGAATACTTTCTTGTATATTTTTAGTTTCTTTGGGAGTTTTGTAACTCCTTTTTATAAAAAAAACGTCTTTGACACACACTGGTTTATTGTCTTTAAAAACAATACTTTTTGACACACTTTCACCGAGTACAAACATACAGCTGCTGTACGGTCAAGCAGCCTCACAAGACTCCAGTTTACTGCAGCGAGAGCGATGTGGCTGCCAAGTAATTATCCCCCACAGCCCCTGTCCAAAATGCTAATGGTATTTACAGGAGAGGACATCAGCAGCAGGTGCAGCTGCTGGAGCGTGATGTTACGCTGAGACACCACACTAAACTGAGAAGTAACAGAGGAACCATTGTTGCCATAGGTGTTAAATAATCAGTCAGACTGAAATCAGATAAATGTTGTTGTTTTTTTTCCAGCAGTTTTTGTCTTTTACTCTGATGCGACAGCTTTAGACACAAATATAATACATATATGTCAGCAGTTGGTTTATTGATGCTGTTGCATGAGTTTGGAGTGAGTCGGAATAAAAAGATTACTGATTCCAAACTGACTCCAGATTTTTACTGCTGAGATTTTGCTTGCTTTAAACTTCATGAAAGTTCATGAAAGTACAGTCCAAAAATTCTGTCTTAAGGATTTAATGCGGATAAAAATAATTTTACATAATTACTAAGTGATATCTCAAGTTAAGCACTGTGTATAAAAATATAAATAAAAAAAAAATGCAAATCCATGAACTCAGGTCTGTGAATTAATCCTATAAAATCTAATATTCCGGGTTAGGACAGTCTTACTTGCACTTTCTTTTTTTAAATGAGCTTATAAACCAAATACTGATTAAATTACTTGAGAATGTTATATGGAACAGACTTCATTAAACATTCATTTTAAAAGCTGAAACATTTTCTGACTGGGGAAATAACCTCTAAGCTTTCTTTAAAAAAAAAAAAAAATACAGTTATTGAAAAAAAATTATCATTGCATATGTTAAATGTTGCTTTCTACAGTCACTAAGTATATATATATGATTGCAGGGTGGAAAACAGAAAGAGGTCTCTTCGTCGAACTTCTAGGGAAAGCTCTGGGGAAACTGTCAGTTCAGCTGCTGACTAGAACCATGAGAGAAAAATCTCCATTTGGCTGAGGAGGGATTGGGAATGGAGAGCTGAACAACAGAGTAAATATTTGGCAGTGGAGAGCTCTTGGGAGATGCAGAGAGCCCACTCTGGCTGAAGCCCGCGGGTGTTAAATAGATTAAGGGGCTGCTGGGTCAAAGAAATTCCCGCTCTTTGGACATGACTTTTCTTTGCTTTTGGGTGTTTTTGCTCTCCAATCGAGTGCCCTCTGTAAACTACCCACTCCAGCTAACCTGCAGTACTGTAATCCTCTGCTGTTTGTCAACCACTGGGAGGCCGATGTGTACACACAAAATGTGCTTCGGGAGGAGTGCGTCTTTTAAGACGTTTGTGAGTGATGCAAACACTTAAAGGTTACTTAACACTGTTTGGTTTTCATGGACGAGATTACGTGTGCGTAAAAACAGAGTAAAACGATAGGTAAAGGTGGATTTCAGAGCATTTTGGCGGAGTAATAATACAGGTCAGCGACTTTTTTTGAACTCGGAAATCTAAATGGAATTTAACAAGTCCTGAATATTGCTTTGGGCTATAGACTTGGTGGCAGTAGACGCAGAGCAGTAGATAGTGTCCCAGATCCTATTCAGCTCCATTCAAAACCATGACAACACAGAACAAGCTCGGATTTATCTTGCTAAGTTAAAGGACATTGTGCCGGGGCGTCAATCAAGCATTATTGCTGGACTGAACAAATGCAAAATCTTGACTGGAACAAATGCTTCCAACGGGTCTCGGACGCGGGGCTACATTTTCCCCCTTTGTTCCCCTTCTCTGGTTGGCATGTATTTGTGTTCCCCCTCGTCCGACCACCCAGGACGACTGGGGAGGCATGTCCACCACTACTCTCCTCCTCGGCCCTCGTGCACCTTGGTGAAGTGGCTGAGGGTGGATATCAATATCAGTTACTAGAAGTAGGGAGGAGGAAAAGCACCCCCACCACCACCACCACCAACATCGTGTTGACATGAGACTGGATTCACGCTTTGCAATTAATGTGCTTTATAGGCTAGCACAAGGGTAACAAATTGACCAACCACTGCAGCAATTTATCAGAAAATCCCCCAGGCTTATTTTCGTGTTAAAGTTAGGTAAAAATCTGCTGTTGGGTTACAGTTATCGCTATTATATTAGCAGTTCTAAACACGATAAAATACAAATACCTTAAAAAAAAATATTTGTCAATAATATAACTCCCTTATTTCAAATCATATCTTCCAAACCAAGTTTTAACACTTCTGTTTGCCCAAAAATTAAACGTGATAATAAATCATCTAGTCCAAAAAGGACGTTTCGGAAACAAAGTCTGGAAATCCTCCGCCGTCCATAAACGTCAAGACTTCTCACGCCTGCAATTAATACGCCCATTAGAGGCGTATTAGTTAAACCAACTGGCAGGCATCACGCTAATTGCTCACTTTGTATGCAAATATTAGACACGTTGTTTGGGCAAAAAAGGGGGAGGAGGGGGACGAGGTGTAGGAGAGAGAGGAGGGGGGGGGGGATGGGACGGGCTCTGTTGTCAGTTGCCACCCAAGATGTGATTCAGCTCCAACAATTACCATTATCTGTTTCCCAGTTTGACGATACGGGACGAATCGGTAATGATGACGAGTGTTTCCTTCGCTCATTCTTGAAGCTCTGAGGATTTTTTTTTCTCAGTTCACACCTAACCATCATTGGGTGTCAGCACTCGAGCTATTCAGGTACTCAGCAGAGGAGGAGGCTATTTATAAGCGAGCGCCCTTGTGTTTGCAGCTTATGAAGTGCTGTTTGTGTAAATACGGAGGCCAGCACGCACACTGGTGTTTGGACAGTGCGTGAAGTGGACTTTTTTTTTTTGATAGATTTGGTTTGAGTGCTTGCTCCTTATCGGCCAGAACAAACCCAGAGTGCATGCAAGGAAAGGATGGCTGCACCGACCAAGTTCAGTTTTTCCGTAAGGAGCATCCTGGATTTGCCTGAGCAGGATGCGGATGCAGCAAAGCGGTCTTCCCCGATTTACTCCTCTTGCTCTTCCAGCTCACCCTACAGCTCATGGATCGACTGCGAGCGGAGCCTTTGCATGTGTAAGTAGGCGTTTAAAGCCATGACAGATGGGTGATAATGAATTTTAAAAACAACCAGCATTTAAAAACAAGGGGAGAAAAACTAAGACTACCCTGAAATGTTTTAACAACTTGCTTTCTCAAAATAATAGATAGATAGATAGATAGATAGATAGATAGATAGATAGATAGATAGATAGATAGATAGATCAGTTTAAACAATGCTTATTCTAACTTGCTGTTTTTTTTCCCGACAGCTTCTGACGATTGCAATTTCGAGGCCTCTCCTGACTCAACTAAGCCCGATGACCCGTCCCTCGATTCAGAGCCTGAGCAGAGCAAGAAGAGCAAGAAACGCCGCGTTTTGTTCTCCAAGGCCCAGACCCTTGAGCTGGAAAGGCGCTTCCGCCAGCAGCGCTACCTGTCGGGTCCGGAGAGAGAACAGCTGGCACGGCTGCTGAGCCTGACTCCAACCCAGGTGAAGATCTGGTTTCAGAACCACCGCTACAAGATGAAGCGAGGTCGAGCAGAAGGAGCACTGCAGGACGTAGAAATCCCGCAGCCGCCGGTGTTGCGCAGAGTCGTTGTTCCGATCCTGGTCCGAGACGGGAAACCCTTTCACACATGCTTACTTGACTCTGAGAAATTTGGGTGTTTACCTCCGTCATCTCAGCCGGTGCCCTTCCCTTTAGCTTACACATCTCTTCAGCATCCATCCCCCGTTGCTCTTCCTCCAAGGTACCACCAACACTTTCCGGCCGTGGCGGCGGCCTCCAGCTTCGCCTGGAGAGACTTTTGGAGTGATTCGGTTCATCTTAATTCTTTCAAGTAAAGGTCTTGTTTCGATGGACAAACTCATTTAGAACGGCATCAAATGTTTTCTGAATGTTTTGTAAATGTTCGAGCCACTTAAACGTTTAGATTTTTTCTATAGAACGAATTATATTTTGCACATTTTTTACGCACGTATGCGGAAATTTTAAATGTTGTTTTCTCTTACATGGCTTATTGCTGTAGCCTTTAGATTTTTAATTACCGAGGTGTATTCGTGTGATTTTTAAGCCTTTTTAAATGTAATATTTACATAAACGACTTGATAATTGAGTTCCAGTAGCTGCATTAGGCGGTAGAAGAGGATAGGAGAATAGGGGCAAAGCCGCTATATAAGTATGAAGGAAGAATATGTCATTTGTTGGTTTCAAGGATACTTTTTTAAAGATTTAACTGTCTGTCTGCGAACAAAATTATTAATAAAATTCTTCATATTTTGTATGATATTTTGACAATGTAATGTTCTTTCTTTCTTTCTTTCTTTCTTTCTTTCTTTCTTTCTTTCTTTCTTTCTTTCTTTCTTTCTCTTTTTTATGTGTTGGCCCCAAAAGCGTGTACCCTGTGCATGCATTTCTAAAGACTAAGCTAAAGATAAAAGGTTTTCGTTTTCCTGCAAAAGGTTTTGTGTAAAAATGTATGTGAAGTTCTAAAATAAAAACAACCTTAAAAGAAAAAAAGATTTTTTTTTTTATCTAAAAAATGTAGCAGGTCTTGACAGAGGCCCCAGGGAGCTTTTATAATGTTAAAAACGAATTTTGCACCCAAAAGCTGAGCAAACATCACATCTGAACAGACTAGGTTTGGCATAAGAATAGCCAGTAAACATTAAGGCCTGTCCCTCTGCAGCACGCTGTTGTTGTCTGGGACTAAGAGCTGCTTTTCCCTTATACAATTAACTTTTGTTATTCTGAGGAAAGTGGTCTTAATATAGCTATTAACTTTATCTGGAAATCTTGTTGTGTGTGTGTGTGTGTGTGTGTGTGTGTGTGTGTGTGTGTGTGTGTGTGTGTGTGTGTGATTATGATGATGATGATGATGTGATTTTTGAGGGGCATAGCAGCAACTGAAGGCAAATCATCAACCCTTTTTCACTTCTCATACAGAAATTTAATATTATTTATTCCACACTTGAACTGTTCTAATTTACAAATGATTTAAAAAGTCAAAACGAGCTCTTACTGTTGTTTTCTAGCATAAACACAACACATTTGGGTTTTTGTGTGTCTGCATTCAGGCAACAGTTTAAACCAATCCTCAAGAGTAATACAAAAACATTCACTACAATGTTACTTGTAATATTATAGATCTTCCTAAATATAATACATACGTGACTATTTTTTAACATTGCTGTGCCACCTCAAGAAAGCAGGTCCACTCATGCTTATCTTGAAAAATATGCCTCAGTGTTTAAAATCATGTCAGTTTTTCATCAGTGATGAGGGGGGTCTTCTGCTTTCACGCCCCCTATAATGTTGTTTGCTCGTCCTGTGACCCTGCAGCCCATCGTCACTGTCACCTGGCCCTTTGTCCGCATCACTGGGGCCACCTTGTATCACATATGGAGGGGACTGGCCGAACCCCTCAGCTCGCTGCATCTCTCCTTAAATGCTCTTTTTGTTTGGGTGTCTCTCTGTGAATAGACCATTGTCCCTCATCCAAAAGGGACCGAGACAAAATCTTTAGTGTTTCAATTCCCGTGATGTTTAATCAGTCCCTGCGACAAATTTATGAGGTTTAACTGCACAATGGTGTTTTAAAGCATCTTGGGGTTTAAGGGTGACAAAGACAGGCTTTTTAGAGGTTGCCATTGGTTTTTTAAGTTGGTCAGAAGAATTGCCTGAAAAGGATGGGCAGGCTAATACATGCCCATCCTATAGTTTTACTCACTGGCCTGCACTGGGGCCCCTCCAGGAAAGTTATAAGGAGCTATAAGGTCCATGCTAAGGCCACATGGAGGAGTTTTAAATTGTTGTAAAGATGCTCACCAAATATTGCCACCTTTTCAAACTGTTTTTTAAAAATTTAAAATCTTATATTTTTTTGTAGAGAAAACATTAAGACCAAACATTTTAACCCCAAACCGGCCTTTACGGTTATTTTGTCGGATGTTATTTTGTTTGCTTTCTATACAAACCTACAAATCAAAGTCAAAAACGTTCATCTTGTCTTTTCTTTCATCATTGTGTTATGGAAAGCTGTTCGCCTTTCTTTTTTCTCTTGTCTGAATCTGCAAGCATCACACCTCTTAGCCCTCCACACATAGCTGGACTGGCCATCGGGCACACTGGGCAATTGCCCAGTGGGCCTATGATGATTTTTCATTTTTATGGGCCGATGTTTTTTGTTTTGGTTTTTGGGGGTTTTTTTTGTAATGGTATAAACAATGAAAGGTGGTGGACTGGCCAACTGGTCATGATCAACTCTGGCCTGGACAAATTACAGCCGATGAGGTCGAACTTTAAAGTTCTTTAAAGTTAACTGTTGCAAATCAGCAACGCATGCCTTGAGAGGGTTAAAGTTCCGTATTGAGATGAAAATGAATGCGATTAGAATTTATTTAGTATTTCTTTCTAATATCAGCTGATGTTTGCAGGAGCCACAGCTGCTGGTCATGATATCAGTTTGGATATGTGGTGAGAGGGAAACATGAAAATGAAACCAGGAGATGTCCTTACTGAATCATCAGAGCTGAACAGGTGATGGAGAAACAGGTTTACATTTTAGGTGACATGAATGAGTTGACGGGAAGTTATGAACTGTTTCTGAGAGACAAATAACACCAGGATCCTTTTCTAGTAGCTGACAGCTGGTAACTGTGCAGGGGTGGATCTAGCAAAGTTTTGCCAGGGGGCCAGGTAGGGCATTAACAGGGAAAGGGGGAGCACAATGAAATACCTTTCTTTCTTATTCTCATTTAAAATGTCTAGCTTTTAATAAATGATTATCTGAATCTTACAACCAAAATGTTCATCTTAAATGTATAAAAATCCATTATTCTATATAGTAACTATTAAATCTAATATACACCCTAAGCCATAGTACTCTTTCCTTTGGGAAGGTATCATCTGTGCAATCTGCAATTCTGTTGAAGAAAGATGTTGAATCTATTTAATTATTGTAAAAAAAAAAAAAAAGTAAAAGGTTTCTGTGCATTTGTTTTACACATGCATTAAATTAAAGTCTATTACATCGATTAAGCATCATGAGGCGGAGGGTGGGGGGTGGTTCCCTTATTTTTGCTTGGATTTGGCAACCCTATTGGTTAGGTTGTTTAATATTTCTGCTAAATACTGTTTCAAATACCAGAATAGGGAGGATGCCGTAAGTTTAAGTTTATTAGATTGATACATATATACCAACAAGACAGTGTACATCACTGTTTTCATTCAAAGGCTTTATGGCTTTTCCTATAATACCCGGTGGGATCAAAATGCCCAGGCGGATTTTTTTTTCCCAGTCCAGCCCTGCCTCCACACAAAACTCATAAGTTAGTTTCACTGGTTTGTTGTGTTCTTCATGCAAGAATATATTGACTTCTGAGTTTGCTTTGCTGTAGTTTAGCTATTTTGTTTTTTAGATTAAATGGAGTAACATCAAGGTTTAGCAGTCAGCCCTCCCAGGGGTCTCAGTGTTTTGCCCCTAGCTCTTGAGCATGCCTTTACCTCCGAGTGGGGCACCATCTTCTAATGTGCTTTGTTCACCCCTTTGAGCAAAAAAATAATTTGAGCAGATATACATGTAAGGCTTTTCTCACTCAACACTACATAAAGTGAGAAAAGCATTACATCAGCATGTCCACTATGTTTAAATCCTTTTACATCTGAAAGACTGATGTAAAGTTATATTTTAAGCAGGAGTAAAATAAGTAAATGAAAAAGAGAGCATTAGCTTATTTCTACAGTGGCTATCACCTGATGGTTTGCACTTAGCTGACTGGGGTTTTCTGTGTGGAGTCTACATTTTTATCTTGTGCCTGCATGGGATCTCTCTGGGTACTCCAGCCTCCCCCCTCAGTCCTAAAAATCCAGGCTAGTCTGATTTAGCCTATATCCTGGGTGTACCTCACCCTTTGCCCAGTGACAGCAGGGATAGGCTCTAGCTGTTATTGCTACAACCAATGACAAATATAAATAATTGCAGTCAAAGCTGAAAAAGTCCCTGAAGATTATTGATATTAGCATATTGATAATGTTCCTCTTACTTTATAATGAAAGACTTTTGGTTAAATGGTAAATGAAACATTTGATAATCACGTTATCAGCTATGACAAAAATAAGTCATGTTTAGTCCTGAAACATGCGAGATGGCATGGATTACAGAAATTCAATAATAACTAAGATATATCCTGATTTAAATCAATAAATCAGATCAGCAATCATTTAATTGTAATAAACTGGATAACACATCAGTATCTCAGAATTTAATGGTATTTGAGGCTGAGAAGTTTTTGAGATACTTATCTGTAAGAATACTGTATTCAAAAGATACTCAAGTCTTTGATTCTTTGTTGATAAGCTCAGGACATAAGAGGGTTCAGTTGCTCTTCATGGTATTCACAGTGCACCTTCCTCAGTTCCACATGCCACCATTTTCGCCTTTGCGTTTAGTCCAGATTGTATCTAATGGCAAGGATTTGATTGCTTGTTGGAGGAAGTAACTCAACAAACAGATGTGGCAACAACACTTCTACACTGAAAATATTGGTCTTTCAGGTTTTGAGGGTCATGACCAACCTCACTTTGTTGCATTTAAATTCTGCTGGGAGACATGAGATCCCTTATTGCAGTTTGCTATACCCACTGTGAGAATTTGGGTATTGTGTAATGATCGGACTTTCCAGCACTTTTTCATGGTGATTTAATACTAAACCAAAACTACCACAGTTTGAGTTCTTTTCTAACATATAAAGAAAAACTAATTGTATTATTTTTGACCTGTTCAAACTACTCAGTTTCCTTATACTTTCATGTTTCTCTTGATGTGCACCATGATGTTTTTGTACTTCAGTCAGAGTCAGTGTATCACATTAGACATTTTACAGTTTTATACTCCATAATGCAAATTTTTAAAAAATAGACTGCCTGATACAGGTTAGTGTGTCATATTTAAAAAAATATATATATGTTTTTTGTGGAAGGGCCAAAGAGTGAAAATATTTAGTTTAAATTTGAAAAGCTTTAGCGTTATATTACCCCCTCCTTGGGAAAAAGAGAAAATACACACAAATATGGCATAGGGTCATTCAATACATGTCACCATAGAGCAAGACAAACAAAAAGAAACTAAAATAAATACATCTATCAATAAATTACTCATGTCCAAATGCAGATAGAGCTTCCTTAAGTTTTGCAAGTTTACACTGCATAATAATGTCTTTAGGGTTAAACAGCTCCC